CTTACACTTTGATTGGCTTAGAGCAGTGGTGTTTCACTTAATTTGAAAATATCGCTATGAGAAAATTACAAGCCTTTTGCAGGTAGTAGTATAAACAAATAATAGCATGATTTGTACGTGATATTTGGCATAAATAGCACTCGTGATATTTCAAAATTGTCTCAAATTTCACTCGCCTAACGGCTCGTGACATTACGTATAACAATTTCGAAACACTACAAATCATGCCATTTCCTGTGCAATGAATATTTCTAGTAGTTGTATCCGTCTACAGATGATTTGTTTAGTAATACTTAGTTGAAAAACAGCATCATTTTTAGAAAAGAAAAAGTAATTATCATTGCTGGGGTCTCGTATACCAGTAAACAGGAAAAGCGGGCTTCACTTTCGAAAGAACAAAGCAGGCACCAGCACGCCTCGGCACATTTCCGGGAAAAAGGGAAGATGATGAAATATTTTCTTTTCTTTCCTTAGGAATTAGTAGATCAGACTCAGAGCCATTTGGTTGGACACTGTTATTATTATTATCACCATTAATATTATTATTATTATTATTATTATTATTATTATTATTATTATTATTATTGAAAACAACTACAGTTTTTGTAAGTGCATGGGAAAATGTTTTGCATTCCGCCCATAGCAGGCGATACTGCGTATATTATACATAGTGTTAACTCCCACGAGGATATTTTAGGGTATTTAAGCGGCCACGCGGTATTAGACACTATCAAGATAGAGCAGAAATGCACCAGGTTTTTTTGTCCCTCTCGCTCGGAGTATTCAGCGTTTCAGAAAGTGTGTAATCAGAAAATTACAGTATACAGAGTAAACCTGATGTAAGTGCAAAAACTGGTACGTGATTCTCTTCCAAGTGGATTCGACACATATCCAAATCAGAAAATTCAGTTAAGATGGTCGTTAGGATGAATCTTTTTTTTTTTCGTAACTAAGGTTTATATTACGTTAGTATTGCATTCGGCGCTAGGAGAGTGCTTGCAGCCTAATCTTGGGCGTAGTATGTTACCAAACGGAGAGATTTTTGCCTCTGGTCGTTCTTGTACCTTTTTAGCATCTTGCTCTCTCTATGCTTTTTGGCCGGTAATGTTGTACGTAAGAAGGAGACAAAAATCGCTCTTATTTGCAGAATTTTTTTTTTCGCGACAACTGTACACGTATAACATATATTCATAGCCTTTTATCACAGCACACGCTTCATAAGTTTAGTTAAATCAGAGTCATCGACCTTAGTACCTCTAGCAACAGTTGTTGTATTATATTTTAATATAGGGAGTTAAACTCCATCGGTTATCAGTTTGAAACTTGTTCCAGATTCATTCAAAATCTGTAACTTCCCACAAGTTATAATTAGGCAAGCCTCTGTTACTTAACATTAACAATGGAACAACTGGCTTTCTCTGTTCTCTATTCAAATCTTTGTTGAAACAGAGGTGGAAATAACTAACCGGTTAGGCGCGATGAAGATTTCGATGAAGATTTTCCGCAACTGATTACATTAAAATAATGCGCCATGTTTAATAAGCCTCTTCAACAAAAATGCGGACATCAACGTAAACTCAATTACCGGTACACCAGTATTGCATCAGTATTCAGCTTGGCGAAAACGTTGAAGTTATTGCTAAAACACCGGAACTGTGGTCACGTCACGGGTCGGTCATGTGTTGAGTATTCAGTTTGAGGAAAATCACGTGGTGTGGTCTGAGGCCAACTACTACTATTCTTGACATTTAGCTACAAAGAAAATACACTGTATTTAACTGTATTATTCAACCCATAAACTCGTGAATAAAAATTACTTGTAAAATTACTTTCATCGGCCTCGCAGTGCAATAACCCACAAGACGTCAAACCTTATCAAGACACAATAACAAGAATATATATTTAAGGGAACTGCCATGAAAACTTAAACAAATTCTCTTTGGATTGTACTAATTTAAGCAATGTGAAATTCTTTAATTTTCTATCATTGATATTTGATTCCGTATTCCGTTTCCGTTTTTGTTTCTGTTTCCGTTTCCGTGATTCGGTTTCCGTTTCCGTTTCCGTTTCCGTTTCCGGATTCCGGATTCCATCTTTTAGTGCTGCCGCTTTCTTGGCCGGTTAAATAGCGTATGTTATAAAGAGGCCAGTGCTCTTCAGTTGTTTGTTTCAACTATATTACTTTTTGTACGAACATTTTGTGTCAATTTAATATTTAAAGCATTTTGTCGACCGGTTGGGAAGGGCTCATTAAGGGCGACCTTCCCCCTGGGTCACTGAAGCAACAGGACTAGTTTATAATGAATGCAAGCTCTTTAATGAACATAAACACTGATAAAAAATAAATTAAAAAAGGACAACCTTGGGTGGTGTCGATATCATTTGTTGGCCTTTGTTGTTTGGTTCGCCAAACGCGGTTTTTTCCCTATCTGAGCTCTAACAACTTCCAGTCCCTCAGTAACGGGTTTTTATCGAATAAAACAAACTTTCAGATGCACTTTATAGAAGATTCTTGATTTGAGATACTGTACATGTCTTTTTAACATTCTGCTTTCGTTCTGAGCCAGTATGAAATTATGTCGGTATTGACACTGCACTTGACCTTCTGCGCCGCGGTTTCATGCACTTATTCCGTTTATACGTTAAAATTAAAAAAACCATAGAAGACTTAAATAGTCACTAGATACTACATTATAGAACATTATATTGCATTATATTCATCTTCATTGAAAAAAATGCGTATTTGGGCACATTAAATATAATTTCATGGAGTTTGTGTAACCCGCGGTTGCGTGACGGTTTCGACATTTTATGCAAAAACATCGAAAATGAACTGCGCGTTTACCTCTCTCGACGGGTTGCTTTTTAATTGCCCAAGCTGGATTTTTTATATATTGCACTACAACAGTAGGCCTTTTTGAGGTATAATAATTCTTCTAAAATTCCATGCACCAAGCCGTGATTTTTTCCTCAAAGTTTTGCAAAATTTCATTGTCTATGAAAGTGCTGAAGATTACTAATCTTCGGGCGTTTTTTAACCGAATAAAAAGTTCATTTTCTTTCAATATTTTTACCAAATAGTATTGTTACTGGGATGCCTTACTTACCTGCTAAAGATGAACTTGTTTCCTTGAACTGTCTTTCTTTCCGAGGGCTTTGAAAATGGTACACGCAGTTCAAAGGTTTTTGCGACTAAATGGCGTAGGGCAGCATTTCACTTTTTGCCTGTTTTCTTGAAAAAGAAAATTCTTTGGAAACTTTGATTGTGATTTTCGAAAATGTTTCACCAAAGGGTTTTTTTGACTGAATATGAAGAATTTCGAAATTTCCGTTTTGACGGCAAATTCTCGATATTTACAGACTGCCGCTCTTAACAACTGTTTTCACACTGCACAGTTCCACTTCTACAGAATCATCAATCGATTTCACCACAAGATCCACCAATTTACTATCCACCTTTTCAGAGCCGTGTCATTCCGGTCAGAGTGAATTCAAATCTTTGACCATCTAATCCAAGTTCCTTCACTAGCCGTTCATGGTACAAAGTTATTTCAGAGCCATTGTCAAGAAGGGCATATGTTTCAATCACTTTACCACTTCCTTTACCTCGAACCTTGACTGGTATGATTCCAAGACACCCGCGTTTCTCCAACTCCAGTAACAGCCACAGCTACTCCATTACCATTACCGGCCCCGTACGAGATCCAGCAGGTACTTCACTTGGTTGTAACTGCTTTTGGGGGTTCACATCTCTCGATCCAGCATTCTGATTTCGCTTTCGTGTGTCTCTCGCATTTGATTCATTGCTAGTTCCTCGTTCTGTTCTCACAGGGTTTCGGTGCATTAAGGTGTGGTGACTTCCTCCACATCCAGAGTGTTGGCACTTGAAATTCACCTTTGGGCAATCCTTAGCAATGTTCCCTTTCGCTAAACACTTGTTACAAAGTCCACCTCGTTGCACTTTCCTTTTCTCTTCATGATTATAAGCGCCGATCAAGATGGCAGCCGTTTGTGTCCGTATTTGTCGATTCATTTCGTTTTTGAACTTGCTTTATATCTTACAATTTTATACGGTATGGCAACCTAAAGGCCTCTGCTACCCGATTATGACTAAGTTTAACGCAAAGGCATCTTTTATCAAGAACAACCAAGAACTAAAGTTTCCGAGGCGGCCAATTTCGATCAGGTACAAGCACGGTCCGACCTATTTGGTTTTACCAATAGATTTGACTGTCCACATGGATGTTGAGCTTAATCCTGGTCCCTTACAGAAGAAACCAATTTATTTGCTGACCTGTCTACCTGCGATTTCTGTGATATCTGGCCTGGTCTCGCATGCAAGTGATAAACTGTTGTCTACGAATTATGCTGACACCCGCCATGTTGGATTTTGTGGTTATTACTATTCAGATGTCTACCAACGATTTTCTTATCGGCTTTGTTCATTTCCGTTATCATCGACCTACAGGAGGTGCCGCGCTGGCTGTCGAGTTAGAGAAAGGAGAGCTAAAAACATTCACAGAATTGAATCCCTGGTTTCTTATCCACGCGCTAGCCGAGGAAGCGATAATTTGCATAAAGGATCCATTTCAAATAACCTCCGCGTCGTTACACCTGTGAATATAAACAATCACTCATCTTCTAATCTTACTTCGACAAACTCTTCACTTTCATACAAATTTGTACGTCAATCCACGTTCAACTTTCCTAAACTTCGCGGTCCTCAATTCTAGATCTGTTAGAAACAAGACCGAGAGCATTATTGACCACGTCGTAGAAAATGACATTGGCCTCTGCACCGTTACCGAGACCTGGTTAAATGACGCTGATTCTGTCAGTATTGCTCAGTTATCTGTGGCCGGTTATTTCCTCAAGAATTTTTCTCGACAATTTACCCATTTATCGGGTAATATCTTGGATCTAATTATTACTCGTTCGTCGGATGTTGTTGTTCTTGCTTCTCCTAAAGCTACTTTTCCCATCTCCGATCATTTTATTATTCAGTGTCCTATTCGCTTCCCGCGACCAGCTTTATCATACAAAGAACTGACTTTTCGTAAACTCAAAAATATTGATATTGCCGAATTCTCAGCTGATGTTGCCTCTTCTATGCTTTGTGCAAGCGTACACTGGGACAACATTGATGCACTCTCCGACTGCTTTAACATGACCGTACCCTCACTGACATTTTGGACAAGCATGCCCCGCTTAAAAGAAGGATTATGATAAATCGTCCAAAGATCCCGTGGTTTAATGATGACATTAAACAACGCAAGCGTAAACGTCGTCGCCTTGAAAAGAAAGCCTTGAAAACTGACCTCCCTGGCGACTGGAATAATTACCATAAAAGTTCGTAATCAGTACTCTGCACTTCTTAAATCTGCAAGTGTGAATTATTATTCAAACCTAATTGATCAGTGTGCGGGTGACTCTCGCAAGCTATTTCCAGTGGTTTATTCTTTGTCCAGTGTAGGGAACCACTTGAGACGGCTCTTCCAGAGCACGATGATCCCTTAAAGTTATCAAACGAATTTGGCACCTTCTTCCTCAAAAAGTTGAAATCATGAAGGAAAATCTTGACAAGTTTCAAGTTCAAGAGACTGCTCTAATAAAGGTTCAAAACGACATCTTAATGAGTATGGATAATAAGGAATTGACACTTCTGGTACTTTGGACCTAAGTGCTGCTTTTGATACCATTGAACATTCTGTTCTTCTGAATATTTCGCAAAAGGATTTTGGAGTCGTCGGAACTGCCTTAAGGTGTTTCGATACAGTTTTTCATGAGGCCATACCGATATTTTTCAATCGCCTTAAAAGTGATTTTTTCCTTGTCCGATCGCTGTAAAATTTTTACCAGTAACTGGCTATGGATTGAGATTTGTGAAAATGTAGTTTTAAATAAAATCGATATTACTATGACAACAATAAACAAAAAACTTTGAAATTGATAAAAGCCGAATTTTATGTGATCTAGACCTGCTACTGAAAATCCAACACTAGGAACTTAAAGTTTGGTGTTTAGCAAACAATCTCCGAAAGAAGTAAAAAATTCTGTATGTTTGAATTCGACTAAAACGAAAATATATTTCAAACCTTAAATTTTCAATAGCGGTGATAGATTATTTAATGAAAACGTTATAAATGACTCAAATTATTCTTAAGTAGCGTAAGAATGATGCTTAATATCATATTTTGATGCTAGGAAATTTTGGTGTACTTTCGTTCATGCGATCTTGAAATCTAACCCGTTTTCTCACCACCTGTATAAGTGCAACTTCATTCAGAATTTGGACTTTTAGCGCTTTCTTGTATATCTCCAAAACGACTCGAACGAATTTTTTTTAAAATCTCTTCACATAATCTTCATAATGTATATAAAAATGTCTGTAACTTTCATTAAGATTGATTCACTGCAACACCTTGAAATTTCAAGAGAAACCTATCCTACGAACCAGTCAAAAATCTGCGTTACAATATTCACTGTTTTGACGTTATGCTAATTTTTCCAAATTAATGCGGACAATACATATATCCATGACTAGTACATTTCAGTGTGAGTATTGTCAATGTTTTACATTCAAAAGATGCGATAAATTCAAACTAAAATGTACTAGTCATGGAGGTATGTATAGTGCGCATTATTTTGGAAAAATTAGCATAACGTCAAAACAGTGAATGTTGTAACGCAGATTTTTGTCCGGTTCGTAGGATAAGTTTGTCCTGAAATTTCAAGGTGCTGCAGTGAATCAATCTTAATGAAAGTTTCAGACATTTTTATATACATTATGAAGATTATGTGAAGAGATTTTAAAAAAATTCGTTCGAGTCGTTTTGGAGATATACAAGAAAGCGCTAAAAGTCCAAATTCTGAATGAAGTTACACTTATACAGGTGGTGAGAAAACGGGTTAGATTTCAAGATCGCATGAACGAAAGTACACCAAAATTTCCTAGCATCAAAATATGATATTAAGCATCATTCTTATGCTACTTAAGAATAATTTGAGTCATTTATAACGTTTTTATTAAATAACCTATCACGGCTATTGAAAGTTTAAGGTTTGAAATATTTTTTCGTTTTAGTCGAATTCAAACATACAGAATTTTTTACTTCTTACGGAGATTGTTTGCTAAACACCAAACTTTAAGTTCCTAGTGTTGGATTTTCAGTAGCAGGTCTAGATCACACAAAATTTGGCTTTTATCAATTTCAAAGTTTTTTGTTTATTGTTGTCATAGTAATATCGATTTTATTTAAAACTACATTTTCACATATTTCAATCCATAGCCAATTACTGGTAAAAATTTTATAGCGATCGGACAAGGAAAAAATCACTTTTAAGGCGATTGAAAAATATCGGTATCGCCTCTGAAAAACTGTATCGAAACACCTTAAATTGGTTCGACTCATTTCCGTCTGGTTGCAAACAACGTATACTTGTCGGTGATAAGACTTCTGACGACTTCAATCTGAACTGTGGAGTCCCCTAGGGCAGTTGTATGGGGCCTGTTTTATTTACTCTCTACGTTTCCTGCCTCTTTAACATTATTTCTCAGCACCTCCCTTCCGTCCGTGGCTATGCTGATCACACCCAGATTTACCTCTCCTTCCGACCTTGTTCTATCCATTCGGAAATTAACACTGTCTCTATAAATGAAAAGTGCATCGCTGATGTTCGCTCTTGGTTTACTGGAAATCGTTTAATGATCAATGACGCGAAAACTGACTTTCTAATTATTGGCACCCTTCAACAACTTGAAAAAAACATCTGTTGAATCTACTATCATTGGTGACACCGTCATTAAACCTTTAGAAAGCGTCCGGAACCTTGGGTCCTGGTTCGATGCTCGTATGCGAACGAATATTCACATAGGCAAGACTTGTAGCAAGGCTTTTCGCGGACTATACAACATAAGACAGATCAGAAAATTCCTTGCCGTGCAATCCACAGACACTGATCCATGCCTTTGTATCTTCGCACCTTGATTACTGTAACGCACTTCTATTTGGTCTACGTAAATATCAACTTCATCGTTTACAGAAAGTTCAGAATGCCGCGGTTAGAGTGACTTTTCAGATTGCGAAATTTGATCATATCACACCCGCTTTTATCGACTTACATTTGGCATCCAGTAACGTTTAGAGTTCAGTTCAAATTGCTCCTTTTTGTTTACAAGTCATTGCACAACCAAAGTCCATTCTACATTAAAGATCTTTTATCCCTGAAACCAGCTGCTAATTATGCTCTTCGTTCGTCTGCACAATCTCTTCTGTTCGTTCCAAAAGTCAACTGCTCTAC